CTGGGCCAGCTGGTGGCCCAGCCGGTGGTCGGCCTGCGTCCTTGCTGCCGCTTGCTATGGCCGCCCAGGAGCGCCTGGGCCTGCTGGCCTGCCACCGCACCGAATGTGCGGTGGCCAAGGTAAGGCTAGCGGAGCAGCGGCGGGCGCAGGGAGGGTTGCTGGCGCGTGTGGGGCCCGGCAGGTGCTTACCTTCCTTGGGCTGGGCCAGCTGGTGGCCCAGCCGGTGGTCGGCCTGCGTCCTTGCTGCCGCTTGCTATGGCTGCCCAGGAGCGTCTGGGCCTGCCGCCGCACCGAACGGGCGTCTTGCTCCGTGATTGCCGGCTCCGCACAAAAGTTTTCTTTTTCTTTCCTTTTCTTTTCTAAATTCTACCCCCCTTTCTCCCCCTCTCCTGTCCCCTCTCCCATTCTTTTCTCTCCTCTCCTTCCCGGCGGCGAGATTCGGCCAGCTGAGGGGGTCGCTCTAGCTCGAGCAGGAGAGCGATCTCTATGCTCCTAGGTCACGTGTGGTCACGTGGGTGCGTGCGTGTGGGTCACGTGGGTGTGTGCGTGTGGTCACGTGTGGTCACGGTGCATGGGGTCGCGGCATTAGGAAGGTTGAGAACCGCTGCTATAGATAGTCCTCGGGTTACGCCAAGAATTTATCCTGTAATTTCCATTGCTAAGTAATGCAGTTGTAAACTGTAATGTTACATGACCACATTACTTATTGATGGCAATCCTGGTCATTCCCGTTTCTGTAGTTAACAAAGGACCAACAGGTTGTTAAATAAGGCCGTCACATAATTGTGACATGGGAAGAGATACAAAACCGTATCCCAGGGTAAATGGGCCAGTGGGTGAATACTGTGGATAAGTGTTAGGGGGTACAGCTGGGCAAGGAGATGCTATGGATGCTATGGAATATGCATGGGTGAATGGCTGTCATTGGTGCTATAGAGTGTGGGCAAGTGTTGTGGGGGATGCTATGAAGTGCAGGTTGAAGAATGCTATGGAATATGAGATCTCCATGCTGCCTTGCAGCTCTTCAGGAAAAAAGCAGTAAGAGCTACTTGCAGGAGTGGCTTGTGACTTCCTGCCAGCTTCCCCATTGACTTTACTTGTGGAAAGCCGGCAGGGAAGGATGCAAATGGTCATCATGTAACTGTGGGACTCTGCAACAGTTGTGAGGGTGAGTTGTCAAGCACCTGAATCACAGTCATGTGACCATGGAGATGCTGATATGGCTGCAACTTCTGAGGATGGGTCATAAGTCCCCCTTTTTCAGTACAGTTATATTTTTGAACAGTCATTAGGCAAAAGGTTGCAATCCAAGGACTACCTGTAATCATATTTGTTTCCCATTTTTCCTGAATCCTTGTGTATGAAGTGAGCACTGAATGCCTTTTTTCAGTTCATATAAACATTCCATTTTTCAGAATCTAAGGAGTGCAAAGTGAAAGTTGAAGATTATAAATTTCAGTCCATTAAATAGTATTTTTTTGTTTTTGATAAAATTAATTCTGCTGGTATTTATTTCCATTGAAACCAGTTTAGAAACTGAAATTCATTTATGTTTTGTTAATGATGTAATAAACAGTCATTTATCAGTTTAGCATGCTATATTTTGTTGGACGAAGGTAGATGTAATCTATTCAAATTCAGTTTTGTAATTCCATTCTGATTATACTCTATAAAATGTTCTGTGTCCTAGTTTTAGAGAATTATTTTCTCATGTCTTTGAAAAAGCCTTTCTTCTATGTTAGTAAGATTGTCTCCATTTGCTCCTTTCACTTTGAATCCTTTGTTCCAGATATTTTACTATATTTTCAGAAAGTCATTCACTAGAACTTGGGTGAGGAAAAGCAACTGGGAAGGAGATGTTTCAGGAATGCAAAGGGACTTGAGACATAATATGTGCATAATATTTTTAATATTTACATAAAGTTACTGGAGAAGGCTATCTATGAGTAGGGTATGATACCATCAGTGTACATTACCACCTGAGGCTATACAAGAGATGTCTTATCTATTTCTGGAAACAGTCAGAGATGGGATGAAACAGGCTGTAGTTGAACCCAAGCAAGATAAGAGTTGCTGTTTATGTAGCAAGGTTCTTTGTTAGTGCTGATATTTTCTATTAACAAGTTGGTGCACCTGATCTATGAAGCAGTCAGAGATTAGACATGCCCCCATGTTGTTGTCTTTCTAGAAGTTAATGAAAACTGAGTATTTTCTATCAAGCTATTGATTTAACAGCTAACCAGCTTATGTAATGTAAGATATAAGTTGTAATGATGGAAATGACTCAACAGGGTCTGTATCTCTTTAAGAGCCTTGGTATAAAGGGAAGGCTTTGCTGATGTGTTCTCTCTTCCGTTTCCTGCTATAACTGTGTTTTGTTGGATCCTGCTGTATTAGCACCTGTATGTATATTGGTCCTGGTGTATGATATTGTAGATAGTGTAAGATAAACCACTATTTACTATAGACCACTCTTTATTGTGTTTACTCCTGGGTTATCTCGCACAATAAGACTGTGCACACTCTGATAGGTTATGGACCCAGAGAGAGGAGAAACCCAGTGAGAGCTTGACCCAGAGCCAGAAAAGCTAAGGCTTGTGGTTTGTTGTGATTTGTGGTGGTAACAGGCAACACGGAGTCTGTCAGCGTAATAGAAGGAGGTTTTGTAGTATCTCATCTGAATGAGACAAACTACCTCTCCTGGTGTCTGAAAATGGAGATGTAACTGCAAAGGGAGGAGTTGTGGTTGATAGTTGCTGATCCACCTGCAGACCTGGATGATGGGGACCGGAGAAAGAATGAGAAAGCAGTGATCAGCATCATCCTGAGTTTGGAGGATAGCCATTTGATACATATAGACAGAGTATGGAGTTGGAGATGCTATCTATGTTGCTGTTAATTACAAATACATGATACATATTCTGATATTACTTGTTCATTTATATGTTATTTATGTATGTTATTATTTTAGTTTTAGTTTAATAATTTTTATTGTAGACATTTTGTTTATATTACAGATAGTCCTTGACCTACAACAGGCCACTTAGTGATGTTTGGAAGTTAGGACAGATCTACCTGGTTTATAGATTACAGGACAGATCTTACAAACTGGCTCCAACTTTACAACGGCACAACCCCCCCCCCCCCCAATTGCATGACTGCATGCTGGATACTCGGCAATCAGTCTGCATTTGTATTTCCAACATTTTTGCTTAATGACTGCAGTGTTTGCTTAATGACTGTGATGAGCACTTTATAACTAGTAGTCACTAATGACTGCTGGGAAAAAAATTATATAATCAGGTCATTCATGTTGCTGATCCATTTTACAACCAGCAGGCTCTATTACAGTCATAGGTTGGGGACTCCCTACACTGTGGATTATATTGTTCAGGTAGTCCTCAACTTACAACAATTTATTTAATCACCGTTCAAAGTTGCAATGGCACTGAAAAAAGTGATTTATGACCAGTTTTCACACTGCCGATCATTGCAGCATCCCCATAGTCACATGTTCAAAATTTGGGCATTTGCCACCTGGCAAAATCCTGGAGACATTTGTAATGTTCCCAGCTGGCTTCTAACAAGCAAAGTCAATGGGGGAAACCACATTCACTTAAAGACCACTTGATTCACTGAACAAATGCAATGATTCATTTAACAAGTATGGCAAAAATGTTGTAAAATGGGACAAGACTCACTTAACAACTGCTTTGCATTACAATGAAAATTTTGGGCTCAATTATGATTGTACATCAAGGACTACCTGTATTTTTACCCGGCCATTTTATGCCTGTACTATGCAGTTAAATGCTTGGTAATATTTAGCTTTCTTTCTAGCTGTAACATTATGATAATGGAGTTCTTACCTTTAGGAAAATAGATGCAATGATTTATATTAGCAAGTCAGAAGACTTTGCTTTCCTTTTTTTATTCTGAATAGCAGACAGACCAAGACTATAAACTTCTCCTTTTGTGTATCCCATCAGTAACAAGTCCTGGACTTCAAAATATAGAATTTATTTTATTTTATATTAGCATTATTGTAGTAGTTAATAGTGAAAGATGCATAATTCAAAGGAGATATTATGTTTAGAAATACAAACTGGTCCACCAAATAATAATAAGTTGCATTTTAAACCAACATATAGCATTGCAAATGGAAAGTAATCAGCTTTTTTGAAACCTTAAGTGTACAATATACATTCAGCACTTTTTTGAATTAAAATTAATGTTTCAAATAATTGCAAAAATTTGAGAAGCACAAATAAAGGCAAATATATGTGTTCCAGGATAATGTCACAAGATCCAGTCTGGGTTGGCCACTAGGACCAGAGGTTTAGTCTTCTGAGCTTTCAGACTCGTTCTGGTGCCCATCCTCAGGGAACTTCTCTCTCATTAAATGTCTTGTCCCGGTGACTAACCCAGATTGGATCCTGCAAATTTGAGAGTGCCATCTGTTTCACTGCACATTGCAGAAAAGATTAGAAGACTATGATGCTTTTAGTTTTAATATATATTTGTGAATTAACTATAGGTAAGTCTTGTGCTCCTAACTTTTGTATTGCCCTTGAGTGTACACACTAGATCAGTAAACTTGAGATATATCACTGTGTATATTCTATTCTAAACTGCTGCAGGATTTGAAATAACTGCTCAGCTATTGAAATGTTAGAGCACCACTGATTTAACAACTCAGACATATTCCCTTGTATTGTTTCAGAATTTCTGGTTTTTCTAGAAGAAGTCAAGGCTGTTAACAATAAGGATTTTAAAAGTTTAAAATATATGAATACAATGCAGTTGTGTTTACTAATATTAAATAAATATATAGATATGCAGCATAATATTTAACCGTGATGGACATGTGACTGATAATTGCATTAATACACCAGCTTTGACTTCCTATAATTTAATTACAAAGTTTTTTCCTATTGTGATAAAATAAGTTACTTTTGTATGAAAAACTATGATGTGTTCTTTGTTTCTTGGTAGATGATGATGTACCTGCAGATATGGTTGCAGAAGAATCGGGTCCTGGTGCACAAAATAGTCCATACCAACTTCGCAGAAAAACTCTTTTACCTAAAAGAACAGCTTGTCCTGCAAAGAGCAATATGGAGGTATTAAAAAAACATGTAGCTTTTTAGAGTAGATAAATAATACTGTGGGCATAATCTAGTCCAGAGAGAGTTGTCAAGGGAGCATATGTAAGAATACCAATATCAATAAAAAAATCGATGAAGACTGGTTGGGATGCTTGACTGTATCTACCGTGTTTTCCCGAAATTAAGACCCAGTCTTATATTTATTTTGCCTCCAAAAGAGACACTAGGTCTTAATTTCAGAGAATGTCTTACCTTAGGACCAACATAGCCAGGCCTCCCACACCCCGACACCTGTTGCACCGCTGCCTAACTTCTTTGCATTGTGCCGTTGCTGCTCCTCCCGGTAGAACATCGCATGGTGCTTTGTGCCATTTCTGCTGCTCGTGGCAGGACACTGTGTGGCTCTTTGGGCTGTTTCTGTAGCGAGCAACAGAAGCAGCCTGAAGCGCTGCGCAAGCAGCCCGAAGCACGCGAACAGCAGAAGCTGCCCAAAGCACCATAAGGCGCCTTGCCAAGAGAAGCGACAATAGTGCAATGCGCCACATGGCTTCCGGCCACAAGTAGCGGCAAGTGGTCTCAGAAGTCAAGTAGTGTCGCGACATGTGTCGGGGTGTGGGAGGCCTAGCTGTGCTGGTCCTACCGGTAAGGTAAGCGGGTGCAGGGCGCGTGGGGCAGTTTCATCCCCCCTACCCCCACCCTAGCTTGATTTTTAGGAGAGTGCCTTGCCCCAAAACTAGGGCTTAGTTTTGGAGTAGGGCTTATATTAGGCCTACCCCCAAAAATCAAGCTCGGGCTTACTATCAGGCTGGGTAACTTTTGAGGGGTAGTAGCTAGAAGAGCTGCTTAAAATGTTTTTTTTTCTTGTCAGGGTGCTTCTACTTCAGCTACAGAAAACTTCGGCCATCGAGCAAAACGTGCTAGGGTATCTGGAAAATTACAGGATTTATCAGGTAATAACTGTTTTAAGTAATCTGATTTTAATAAATATCAGATAAGATAAAGTAGTCCTATTTGCCAGGTAGAAGAGAAAGATTTTTAACTGATAGATGCAGTTAATATCGTGTTTCCCCGAAAATAAGCCTGAATCTTATATTTATTTTTGGTCCAAAAGAGCCATTAGGGCTTATTTTTGGGGGATGTCTTATTTTTTTCATCACAAGGCCCAGTCTGGCCAGCGCTCCCCAGGTGACTCAGGTTTCTCTTGGTGGGGGAGGAAGGCTTTGGAAACCGTCTTTTCATTTACATTCATCATCAATATTGTAATCCGTCCCTTTATTTTTCAAAAAAATTATTTGTATTTACCACGATTAGTCTCCTTGAATGTCAGTGTCAACTCTGCTAACATCGGATGTTCTTGCTTTGACAACAGATGGAAATGCAGCCTTCTTTATTGCTTTTAGAGTTAGTTGATGCTGGGAGGGGGAATGTGGATGAGATTCCAGCTAGTCATAACAATAATAACTCAGCCCTGGGAACCCAAGGTCATTGGGCCCAGAGTTGATAGAGTTTTGGCAGGCTGGGGAGAAAGCCCGCGCTTCAAGCTAATTGGGGGAATGTGATTTATGACTGGAGGAGGGAATTGTGCTTTGATACTTTGTATCCAGGGGAGGGAAATTTAGTTTTTGGTTTCGACTATGTAGTGCCGATACTTTGTTTCTCGAATAAAAGATTCTTTAAGGTAAACAATGCCTCAAAGTTCTTTTGAAGAGTTTCATCTGTCGGAACCATGAAATTAAACTAAAACCTCCAATTTTTACCTATCTTGGAGTCCTGAGCCCCAGTCACTGTCCCTAGAATTGAGGGATAGACCAACAAAGATTCGAGGAAGATCTCAACATGGAGAAGGAAGGAGTGCCTGAAACCAGCACCCTGGCAGTGGCTGCTACCTCAGAGGAGGGCGCGCAGGCCAGTGCGGTGGAGAAGGAACTTTTTCAAGTCTCAGAGGGGGGCAAGACCCAAGCTGCGAGAACAGCTGATCTGGCTGTCGGGATGGACCTTGCCCAGTGGAGACTCTAGACACCTCGAGTCGGCCTTGCCACAATCAAGTGCTTTGAAGGCAAACGGTCAATCTGCAAGGAGGGGCTTCCCGCAAGTCGCATTCCCCAGACCAGTGAAGAACCATGAAATTGACTTACTGCCGAGGACTCGGTTGAGTGGAAGTACCTGTCCGCAGTCCGTAGTCAATCAGTGGAGACGGTGGCAAGATTTGAGGAGCTAGAGATGAAAACAACCCTCCTGTTCTCCATACGCGAGCGATCATGATGATCGGTGAGGCAGCCATCAACTGATGCCAAAGGGGAAGTCCCAGCCCCATCTGTGCAGGTCAAGTAGCTTCCCCATCCTCGAAGCCACTTACCATGGCCTCCAGCCCCATGGGGAGAGATAGCTCCAGTCGTCGCCCCTTCGAAAGCCCAGATCTCTGTTGGCGAGATAAGAGCCCGAGCTGTCACTGGGACAGCCGAAGCCCGGATCGACGTGCTTACCAGCCACACAGCCCAGGGCCCATAACACAATGGGGGATGTCACAGCCCCCACAGATAGGAGGCCAGCAGTCGCTGGCAGTGTAGCTCCCGAATGTGCAGCAGCAGATGGGGGCCTTGCAGCAACCGGGGATGATGCAGCCGCCAGGGGGTCAGCAACCACTGGGATTACAGCAGCAGCAGTGGGGCTGGCCGCTGTCTCCGAACATGCAGCAAACGCTGAGGGGCCTGCAACTGATGGGGATCCAGCAACAACGACCTCGGGCCTCGGGGGCCTACAACTGGGGATGCCACAACCGCCCGCAGATTAGCAGCAGTGGGGGTGGCAACAGGCCCCGTGCATGCAGCAACCACTGAGAGGCCCGCAGCAGCTGGGGGTGCCATTTCAGCAGCCGCTGAGATCATTGGGGGTCATACAGCAACTGGGGATGCCATAACCGCCAGCAAAGCAGCAAGAGCCATGGGGGTGATAGATTTGAAAGTACTAGTGGACTCTGGATGCTCCCGGTGCATTATTAGCTTGTCACTTGCCCTGAAAATGGACATACGAGCAAGACTGTTCTCCAAATCCGTGAGGTTTGAGCAAGCCGATGGCTCCCTAATGGGAGGAACTTTAATCACGCAATTGACTGAACCCCTATGTTTAGAAATAGGTGAGCACTGGGAGTTCATTCGTTTCATGGTGGCTCCGAAAATGACTGAGGCCATGATCCTAGGGCTAGCCTGGTTAGACAAATGGAAGCCATTTATCTGATGGGAGAAGGGAATGAGGATTATGAGATTATCTATAGGACCCAAGCCCCCCCTTAATGGACGTTACAGGAGAACTTAGCCCACCCAATGAGCTAGCACAAATAGCTGCCTTGTCTCAACCAGGCGAGCCACTCATCCCCAGTAAGTACTGGGGCATAGTGGAGGCGTTTGGTGAGAAAGAATGCAACACCCTGCCTCCCCACCGACCCAATGATTGCTCTGTCAAACTGTTATTGGGAGCCAAACTCCCACGACCGAGAATGTACGCTATGTCCCCCCTTGAAATGGAGGAGATACAGCAGTATGTGGACAAGAACCTAACGAGGGGATTTATTGAGCGGGCCAATTCTGCCATGGGAGCCCCATTGTTATTTAAAGAAAAGACGGGTCGCTTCGTCTCTGTGGATTATAAAGGTCTGAATGCTGTAATTGTGGAAAACAAATACCCCCTCCCCCTCCTGAAGGACTTTACTAACTCACCTGGCAAAGGAGAGTGTCTTCATTAAGTTGGACTTGAGACAGGCATATTACCGGGTGAGGATAAAGGAGGGAAATGAGTGGAAGACTGCCTTTAATTGTCCCATGGGGAGCTATCAATTTAAAGTCATGCCGTTTGGACTACAGGGGGCTCCAGCTGTCTTTATGCAGCTGATCATTCAGGTACTACATGACCATTTATACAAAGGGATTTTGGTGTATCTTGATGACATTCTGATATACAGCACTAATATGGCTGACCACGTAAAACTAATGAGAGAAGTGCTAAAGAAACTGTTGAATGCCAAACTTTATGTTAAACTATCAAAGTGTGAGTTTCACCCAACCCGACTAGATTATCTTGGCTACAGAATTTCCAGCGAAAGCATTGAAATGGACCCGACCAAAGTGAAAGCCATAATTGAATGGCAGCCCCCAAAGACTCGCAAGCAACTCCAGAGCTTTCTGGGATTCGTCAACTTCTACCGCCAGTTCATCCCCTCCTTTGCTGAAATTGCCTTACCCCTAATGGAATTACTGAAAACAGGCAAGGAGGGAGGAAAGCCATGTCCGGGCCAACCATTAGCATGGACTATGAACTGTCAAAATGCTTTTGAGAATTTAAAAAGGCTATTTGCGATCGAACCGGTTTTAAAGCCCAGGAAATCCCTTTGTGATTCAGGCCAATGGCAGCAATGTGGCCGTTGGAGCTGTGTTATTGCAAAAGAACCAGAATGGGACCCTACTACCCTGCGCCTATACCTTGAAAAAATTCACTGAGCGCGAGAGGAGGTGGGCTGTGTGGGAGAAGGAAGCTTTTGCGATCCGATGGGCTCTATTAAACTGGAGACACTATCTAGAAGGGAGCAAGGTGCCTTTTGAGGTATGGACTGATCACAAAAACCTAGAAGCACTGAAAACTCCTCGCAAATTGTCCCCAGAACAAGTACGATGAACGCAATACTTTAACCGGTTTAATTTCACCCTAAAGTACATACCAGGGGGAAAAAAAACTTCTTAGCTGATGCTTTATCCAGACTGCCCCAGTACAAGAGCTAGCATGAAGAGGTTAAGGAGGCAATTATTTCCACTCCACAAACTGCTTCTCAACTCATGCAGCGCAGAGTCCCACCTTCAAGAGCCCCAAACCCCGATGACCCTGAGGCAAAGAAAATAAAATGAGAGCTCCTCACCAACCAATGGTTCAAGGACAACCAAATCTCCCTAACTTGCAGGGATGATTGGTCTTACAAAGGGGGAAAGCTGTACTTGCCCACGACCCTCCGCCTTAATGTCCTCCGTCACGGCCGTGATGTAAAACAGCCTGGGCACTTTGGATATTTAAAAACACTTCACCTCATCCGTCGACAATTTTGGTGGCCGCGGTTGAAACGGGACATAGAAAACTATGTCTCGAGTTGTGCTGTATGTGCCACCATGAAAAGAATTCTGGGGAAAACCCCTGGGTTATTACAACCGGTGGCAGATCCTTCTCAACCATGGGAAGAAATTGCTATGGATTTTATAGTAGACCTACCTGAAAGTAGGGGAAATACGGTCATTTGGACTGTGATAGATCTGTTTTCAAAGCAGGCTCACTTTATTGCCTGCAAAGGGCTCCTGTCCGCCCAATGACTAACCAAGATGTTCCTGAAACACATCTTCAGACTACATGGCGCTACAAAACAAATAATCTCTGATTGGGGTGCAGTTTACAGTTGGAGGAGTTTTCTTAAACTAATTGGCTCATCTCAAGGACTATCATCGGCCTTTCACCCATTTACCAATGGGGCGGCTGAATCTGCGAACTCAATGGTGGAACAGTATCTTCGATGCTATGTGGATTATCAACAAACGAACTGGACTGACCTCTTCCCTTTCACAGAGGTGGGTTACAATAGCTCTGTTCACAGTAGCACCGGCTTCACACCTTTTAAAGTGGCCACAGGAAAAGAGTTCAGCCCAATACCCGAATATCCTGAAGGACCCTCTGCCTCCCAAACTCTTGATCAGTGGGTGAGGGGGTGGGAAGAAGTCTGGAAAACCACAAAAACTGTTTTGAAAAAGGCTTCCGAGACATAAAAAACAGGCAGATTAAAAAAAGGGCTTCTCAAAGGTCATTCCAAGTTGGGGAAAAGGTTTATCTGTCCACCAAATATTTACGGCTTAAATTACCTAGTAAGAAATTAGGACCGAAGTACTTAGGACCGTTCCCCATTGTAAATATCATTAACCCAGTCATGGTAGAACTAAAACTTCCCAGGCTCTTAGGGAAAGTTCACCCTGTTTTCCATTGTAGCCTGTTGAAACCGTTTCGGGATTCCACCTTAAGACCTCCCCCTAAGAAGGCACCTGGACTTCTCATAGTGGCAGGACAGACTCACTATGAAGTAAAGCGTATTCTTGATTCAAGAATTTTTAAAGGGAAATTGCAGTACTTAGTGCAATGGAAGGGATATCCGTTGTCTGAGGCCACCTGGGTGAAATCTAGCGATGTAAAAGCTGACAGACTCATTAATAGGTTCTATAAAAAACATCCTAACAAACGAAGAGGCAACCCCTAACCTGTGCTTTTGTTTGCATTACAGGATTTGTTCTTTTTTAAGGGGGGGGGGCAGATGTCAACGCTGCTAACATCGGATGTTCTTGCTTTGACAACAGATGGAAATGCAGCCATTTTTCTCTATTGCTTTTAGAGTTAGTTGATGCTGGGAGGGGGAATGAGAGTCCAGCTAGTCATAACAATAATAACTCAGCTGTGGGAACCCAAGGTCATTGGGCCCAGAGTTGATAAGAGTTTTGGCGGGCTGGAGAGCTGGGAAGAAAGCCTGTGCTTCAAACTAATTGGGGAATGTGCTTTATGATTGGAGGAGGGAATTGTGCTTTGATACTTTGTATCCAGGGGAGGGGAATTTAATTTTTGGTTTTGACTATGTAGTGCCGATACTTAGTTTCTCGAATAATAGATTCTTTAAGGTAAACAATAAGTTCTTTTGAAGAGTTTCATCTGTCGGAATCATGACAGTCAGTGGGAAGGCGCGGTGTGAATTCTGCGCATGAGCCACAGAAATACAAACACTCGCACCCTCAAATCTCACACTTCCTCGCTCAGGGTGCACCACTGCTTTACAGGTGCGTTCAACTTTGTAGCTCAGCTAAACTCTTCAGCTGCAGTGGGCTGCAGTTCCCATCACCTTCAGGAAACCTGGGCAATGGAAACCTTAGGCCAGGCTCCTCGCACCTGAAGCAATCCGGCTTGCACAGAGTCAGGTTGGCCATCGCGGGAGGCGTGGCCCATCCCCATCCTCCAGCTCTGCTGCACATGTGGGACGAGCCTCCCACGACAGCCAACCTGACGTTGGGCGAGCTGGATTGCTTACAGGGAGAGGCTGCGCGTTGCAGCAGGATGACTGCTAAGGATGTGCATGGATCCCTGCAGCTCCTGGAGGCTCCGAGCACTGTTTTTGGCACCACTCGGTTTCCCACCCCACCCCCACCAGGCTGATCTGGTGGGCAGGATTGCCTTCTGCCTTCCCTGCCACTGCATTGGCAGCTGAGGGCAGCATGGCAATTGAACAGTGGCCCCACGCTACGAATGGGGGATAGAGTCCATTCCCCAAACCTCAGCCATCCTCTCCACGGCGTGCTGCAGCTGATCCGAAGCGGCCAGCTAGGCACCAGAGTGCTCCTGAAAACAGCGAGGCAGATGGGCACACAGACGCGCACACAGATGCACATGTAGACTCCACTGTTTTCGGCAGCGCTTTGATGCCTGGCTGGCCGCCTTGGATAAGGGACGGATTACAATATTGATTATTATTGTAAGCGAAAAGGCAGTTTCCAAAGCCTTCCTCCCCCAATGAGGGAAACCTGAGTCGCCTCTCATAGTGAGACGTCTTGGGATGCCCAGATTTCTTTCCCACCCTTCTGCAGAGGAAGAGAAAGCGGGCAAAGCCTGTGGGACAGTGCAGGCCACCTCTGGAGGCTGCTTCGTGATGAGGGTGAAAGAAGCTGATAGTTGAGGCCCTGGCCAGTTCCCACCCCTGCCTGCCTGCTGGATTCCCCAATCCAGGGCAGGGATAGAAAAGAGGCAGCCTCTGCTTGTCTCAGGCCCCGGCTCTCTTAACATTCAGACCACCTTGCAGCGGCAGCACTGGCAGCAGGCAAGGCGGGGGGGGCACACGATCCGGCCTGCCAAAAAACATGGTGGGACGGAGTGGGCGGGGTGTCAAGTAGAGCTTATTTTTGGGGTAGGGCTTATATAAGGCCCAACCTCAAAAATCAAGCTAGGTCTTATTTTCGGGATAGGTCTTATTTTTGGGGAAACATGATAGCACTTCTGAACAACACAATCCTATGAGTCGTTTTAGAAGGAAGTAGAAAAATCTCATCTTATAGAGATATAGTAAAGAAATGTTCCAACCTTAAAACACCTATTTTTGTGTGTTCTGAGCATGAATTGTCTTTTCTAAAATTCTGTTTCAAGCATGAGACAAAACTTAGTTGTTTCAAGAGGTGTCATTTTGAGGCTGTTGCAAGCACTGTAGTTGAGCTGATATTCCTTGGCTTGTGATTGGTCCTGCTTGTTTCCTCAAATTTATTATAGCTTAGCCACATTGCAACAAAAACCAGCAGCATGTTCTTGCTATTATTAGCTTAGACCAATGACATTATGTGGGGATGAATTGTTGGAAAGGAAACAGTTAAAATATAGCTGACAGAAGATTTTAACAGTTGCATGTTGCTAGCCTGTTTTGTATACCAGGGCTTTTCAACCTTTTCACCCATTGTACCACTTTTAGGATATGGCAACATCTGAGTACCACCAGTCGCCTAGCAAGGTATCAAAAACTTGAAGACCAAAAAAAAAAAAAAAAAAAAAAAAAAAGGGAAAAAGTGATAAAGTACAGGTAGTCCTTGACTTGCAACAGTTCGTTTAGTGACTGTTCGAAGTTACAATGGCACTGAAAAAGTGCCCCCCAAGCCACAGCCGAGCAAGACACCTGCCTGCCCACCCGGCGGCGCTCTTCCTCCTGTCCGAGGTTTTCATTGTGAGCATTTCTGTTGAGGATTGCCAGCGGGGGTGGGGGGTGTTTGGTTTTTATTCCCCCCGTCTGCTGGGTGATTGTAGCATGTTTTGGTCACTTCACATGACCCTGGGACACTGTGACCGTCAAAAATATGAATCAGTTGCCAAGCATCTGAATGTACATCACAAGGCCCTGGAGATGCTGCAACATTCCAGCTGATCGGCGCTTCTTCTGGGCTCAGCAGAAGCACCAGGATCAGTGCTGCTTTCCAGCTGATTGGTGCTTCTTCAGGGCTCAGCAGAAGCGCCAGGATCAGCGCCGAGCTCCAGCTGGAGCCTGGCGCTGATCCTGGCGCTTCCACTGAGCCCTGACAGCCCCGAAGAAGCGCTGATCCTGGCGCTTCTGCTGAGCCCTGACAGCCCTGCAGCTCCAGCCATCTCTTGCTCAGGCTTGTGCAGTGCTGCCACCGGTTCAGCTCATTCCCCTCCCTCGCTACCACTTTGCTAGGATGGTCGCGTACCACCTGCCAGGTGCCAATGTACCACAGGTGGTACCCGTACCACTGGTTGAAAAGCCCTGATATAGATATCCATTTTCATGAATGTTGCCTGGTGCTTTATTTTGCAGGTTGATAATGCAAAGATGTATGTACACTAATTCACTTTGCACAGAAGTATTGCTAGTGCTGTTGAATAAATGTCTAGCACAGTGCTAGTTTGGTTGATGTGTATCTGCACATTATCTTTGTAGTAATGCTAATATTTGTTTGTTGATTTATTTTATTAAATTTATGTGCTGTTCATCTCACTATCAAAGTGCCTCTGTGCAGCTTAAGTAGCAGCAGGAGTCTTACCCATCCCCCCTTTTCAGCCTATTGCCAGCTATATGTGCAAATAACTAGAATAGCCTGGAAGAAAAACTGGAAAAAATAAAACCCATAAACCCTGCCTACAGTAAATTGACTAAAGAGATTTTTTTTATTCCCAAAACTGTAAGCAAACCGTTTAAAAGAAAAGTATTAATGTCAAATAAATATGAAGAATTTACCGTAGTTGCTTTCTTTGTAATCTTTTGACTGAGTGTTACAAAGAAATTTATTTGAAGAAATGGAAAAATCTCTTACATGTTCTTTGTTTGTTGCTTAATGTGCCCTTTCTTCCCATTGCAGTTGTACCAATGGGCCCTCATTTATTATTTTTATTGTATTTAAGCAGCTCGAGCAAAAGGAATAAAATATATAAACCCATTACATTAGAAGAAGGTCTTTGAGGAGGACATTCCATTTGGAATGAGGAATTCTTTTAGGAACGTCTGGGCGTTGTAATGGAGAACTTTTTATCCCCTCCTCTTCCTATATTTTCCTATCATCCAGACAGCTGAACTTACACTGGTCCTGAGTGCTATGTCTTTAGAAGCTCTCCCCTCATACAATACCATGCTGCAAGCAAAGCTATTTTGAGTATTCTTTTGTTCTGCATCAGCAAAGTTGGCCATCTACCAACTTTGGTTCAACTTTTGTATGATAAGGTTTTGCTTACATATTGTCCCCTTTGTATAGAAGTCTGCTGTTTAGTTATTCACTAAATTGGGAGTTAATGTAGAAGCTAATTTCTCCTATCGCAGAAAGACTGGAAGATCTCCACCGGCCATGTATATCTCGACTGTTATGAATTATTCAGGAATGCGAAGACTGGATTTTGGAATATGAGCTTGCCTGCTTTCATGGCTCCTTACTTGAAATTAAGAGATATCCAAATCTTTGAGTGATTTCTGTCTACATTGTGCAAGTATCAGGAGAATTAAAAAAAAATTCAGAAATTTAATGTTGTTCACTGCCTGTCCATATTGATTGCTAAGCTTGGTGGTTTGTTGTAATTTATCCAAAATCTGTCAGCATACCTAGGTTTTATGCTTTGGTAAGTAACCTACAAGCTGCTTCTTCTAATAACATCTTTTTCAGTCAGATCATGAATATAAGAAAGATACAAGATGTCCATGATCTTTCTTGATAAAAATAATCCAGACAATTCAATCCTGTTATTTTGTATTTTAATAGCAGCACCTGCAGAACAGTATCTTCAAGAAAAATTACCTGATGAAGTGGTTCTGAAAATCTTTTCATACTTGCTGGAGCAAGATCTTTGTAGAGCAGCGTGTGTATGTAAACGCTTCAGTGAGCTAGCTAATGATCCAATTTTGTGGTAAGTGAAAAGATAATTCTTAATTATTCTGAAATATGCTACATGTTATCAAGCACCATAAGAAAAAATGAATTCCTACTTAGTTGTTCCTATTACCTTGAATGGAAACAGATATTTGACTTGCAAGAAATTTGTTTGGCACATGCTTCAAACTGTATGCCTACTTTTCTTTAATGCATCCTGTCAGTCTAATTTGGCTGATCACGGAAATTTTGCTATTTTTTAATAGAAACCTATTTGTACACTCAGAATTGTGGAAATGCTGTTGAAAAATCCAGAAAAGATTTCTGAATTCTCCATAGTCAATAGGATTTTTGCTTTCTCTAATTTTATTTCCACCATTGTAAAAGTATGCTAATAATGTTCCGATTATCTCCATATCAGTATATATTTAATACTAACTCTTAAGTAAACCCCTTAAGTTAAATTTTACTACTAATGACTTTAGGGAAACATTCCTAAAGCTTTACAGTCCTACTTGGTTTCCAAGCCTAAATAAGATTAGCCAGATGCTGCCACCTGCTGAGGTGTAAGGACTGTATTTAACATAGTTTTTGAATGTTGTTTTTAAACAAATACAAACAAAAGATTTGTAAAATAGAAAAAAAATCAGCCACAAGAAAAAAAATAAAACAAAACAAAAAGCTATCAAAGCAAAACAATAATAAAAATATTTAGAGGACTGTAAATAACACTATACATCTAAAAAGGCAGTTCATATGTCATCAAAAACTTGATTTTAGCTAGCACCTAAAATAAAAAAGCTCTAGCTTTAAAAGTTAATGATCTTGAACACAGAATAAATCATGAATCAATGCTAAAATGTGGAAGTTCTTTCACCTCTTCAGACATTGATTCAAGGAAGGACTATTTCATAACAGGAGTAATATATATCTGTATTTGCAGAATGCATTCTTTCATAAACCATCATGTAGTTCTATGAATGCTGCTCAGCAGTTGCTTGATTTAATTTTCCATGTAAAATTCCAGGAAAAAGGCAGTACATCTTGCTTTTATACAAGGATCTTTAGTAGAACAAGAGGATTAATTTGTGAAGGAAAAAGAGAAAAAAAGAGTTGATAAACAATTTCTGTTCAGCCAAATGCTTTTATAGACCTATAACCTTAATTCCTTGTTCATGTTTGCCCTTGTATTCAAAGAAATTTATATTAAAAATTACTCTTAATGATTATGATTTCATATAATTTTTATCTGTATAATTTATATCTGTGTTCTCTTAAAATTTATTTGCAATTTTCTATTCATAATGTCTTTATTCAGGAAGCGATTATACATGGAAGTATTTGAATATACACGTCCAATGATGCATCCTGAACCTGGTAAATTTTATCAAATAAATCCAGAAGAATATGAACATCCAAATCCATGGAAAGAAAGCTTTCAGCAACTGGTATATATATGTTTTTTAAAACCTTATTTATGTTGCATGTTTACAATGAATGAAATGCTGAAGAATAGTCAAGAGTAGGGATACTCACATTTATTCATCTGCTATCTTTCAATCAGTTCATAGTTTTGAGATCTTGAGTTGCTCTACTACCATGATAGCTTCATTTCCTAAGTCCCTGGTTCAGTTTTATATTCTCAAATCATTACATTTAAGTTCCTCATTTCTACGCTGATGAAATATAATTCTTGAGATGTTATTTGGTGCATTTAATATACAGTTCTTTGGGCTGAACTGCAATGAAAAGGGTGCCTTTTATTTTGAGAATAAAGTTCTATTGGGAGCATATTAATAGAAAAACTTAAAAACTAGGGAAGGGAACTGATCAAAGGATATTAAATAAAAGACAATTAGGTGTTTTTTTTAAAAAACAAAACCAAATGTATGTCAATATTGTAGTATACAGGTAGTCTTAGGGACCATATTTGGTTCCAGAAACATTTTATTCAGCAAAGTAATAACTAACTAAATCCACAACTGTACTTCGGACCTTACTTCAGCTTTCCTTTGCTTTGCAGACCTGCAAAGGTCATAAATGCGAGGATTGCTCATAAAATTACTTTTTCATCACCATCACAACTGTGAATGGTCGTTAAATGAGGCAATCTGTAAATAAGGACTACTTGTAATACTAATAAAGTATAAATAACATTGAGTGAGAACTCAAGAATTTAAGTCAAAAGTGATTACTAAAATGAGAAGGTTTGATACTCAGCACACATAGATTCTATTGTCACATAATTTGTGAAATCAAGAAAAGGTAAATCAAGAATAGTAATTAATATGACTAATTCAACAGGTTGAGAATTCTTAGAAAATAATTTTATTCATAGTCTCTTTTATTCATAGTCTTCCTCATTTTTGATTTGATTTTTGATTTTGATTTTATTAAATTTATACCCCGCCCTTCTCCCGGAGGACTCAGGGCGGCTTACAGCCAGTTTAAAACAATAGTACAGTACAATACAAAATTTAAAAAGATTTAAAAATAACTATTCAGATTTGGCTGCTCCTACTAAAAATTTAATTTAAAACCCCTTTAAAATACCCCTAGGCCAGT